GGGTTGCTCCACTTCGACCTCCGTCGGTAGGCCGACAACTTTGGCTGCTAGCTCAGGAACTCGAGGTGGCTAAATACGGAAAAGGGATCCAAGAAGAAGGTACGCAACGCGAAGAGGGTAAAAAGTAGACAAAAGGAATGCCCGAAAAGGTCACGCAGTTGGAGCGTACCGGTTGGCAAGACTTGCTAGGATTGGGAGGATTTACACTCTCACTTACACAACGCGTCCTCGTCAAATGATGTCTAATGCATCCTACATTGCAATAAAAGAGGGCAAAGACGATGTGCAGGAACAGTTAAGAAAAGAAAATGAGTGTGAAAACGCCAGTAGTTAGGCGTGGCGATGTTGATTAGGCCAGCAATTTTTCGGAATGGGAGTGAATCCCATAAAAACAGAAGTATTCGCGGCAAGCCAGTTCTACTGAGTTAATTTTACCTACATATTAAAAACACCAACTGTGATTCATCGGTTTTCTTAGTCTCATCCACTCCCTGAATACGAAGTCCTATTAAACCACACGCGGACATGCCGGCGCCACGCGATTAAACAGCTAAAGGTAATGACTATGTCGCAAAGGTCGCAGAAGGTATACCAGGAATATTGCGTGTTATCATCGCTGCGGCGCAAGGGCCGCTGACGGATCGACGTTGCGGTGAACAACTACTTCGACCCCTTTCGGAACATCACCCTGATTGCCAGCCAGTTGATTGATTGTCTATTTCAGAGGGATTGCGTCCATATTTTGTCTTTTGTAAGCTCAGACATAATTCTGCGCTGAAGTAAAGGTGTCGGTTTTTACGTGACACTCTGTCCAACATTATTTTCCAACACCGACCCTGCTGACTTAGCTGGCTTCTCTTCTCGATAGAGGAAAATCCCATTGGCAATCACATCATCACTCAGTCAGTCGCGACTCAACACCAGGCCTCCTTGGTCGTCGAGCATTGATGCCAGTGAGCAGAATTCGAATCTTACGCGATTATTGCGCAGAATTTGATGCATTTCAAATAAAATACTTTTATCAACTTTTGACCCAGATCCCAGTAGAGTTGAGCGGAAGGATTTACTCCAAGTTAACACAGTGATTTCTGAGGAGGCTCCTTTTTTCGGATTCGCGGTCAAGGGTAGGCCAGTGAAAATTACTTCCACCTAACTTTTGACACCTATTGTCTGGCCAAGTTTGCATTTAAGGCGTAATATAAGCAACAGAATAATGCAAGCGAGTGATATTAGTGCATCGATGGAAGTGTCACGTATATTTGTGGCAAGCGTCAAAGTTGGCTGATTTTTTTACAGAAAAGTGTCAATCACCCGAACGTTTATTCAAAGTAAGATAACGCTCAGGAGTTAGAAAAGGAATTTAATTTCACTTGGGAAGAAAACTAAGAGAGAAAATAATTGATCTAACGTAAATATTTATCAAGCCAGTTTGGGCCTTACTCTGGAAACGGGATGCGCAAACTCCGAAAGTGTATGCAAAGACGACGTTAGCATATGTTGAAGTTGTTGTTAGAAGTGGAAAGGTACGAGTTCCTGGAAGCAGTTGCGAAGGAGACGCGATCGATGGAACGGAAAATGCAGCAATTAACGACCCGGATGTAGACAATCCAGCAATTATCGCACCAAGTACAACCGTTAGGGACGTATGCGGAAGCCGCTAATTTTAAGTAGATACGCGGTGGCATAGCAACTGCATCCTATAAATACTGCAAGGCTTGTGCAAACAACACCCTTATCAGATGGCGTCTCAGACGCTGCCTTCCAGTATGCGGCCGAAACGTCAGGCGAACCAAATGCACGTTCCAGCGACTGCGGTCCCTTCTCAAAACAGTGAAGTTGCATATAACTCTCGATACCCAAAGGATGGTTTACTGCCAAAACGCGGACGGCGCAGAGTACCACCCGATAAAGAGCGGAAACATGGGAAATGAAAATGAAAGGTAGGCTATTAGCGAGCTTCGCCAGGACCAAGTATTGAGAAGACAGGCTATCGCCGTCCTACTAAACGGGTTCAAGTTAAACGCAGTGCAACGAGACAGCCACCTACGGCTGATCCTCCCCCCCCCTCAGCCCCCAGCAACGCGAGATGGCGCTGGCCTAGTGAAACGGCCTGGGGGCTCCCTGTTTATGCGTCTTCAGTGAGTATCAACAACTTTTTTGTTGCTCAAACAGCCGAAAAAGTCCCCCCTCCTAGCTGACAAGCTGGGCTAG